TTTGTAAGGTGTCTTGACCCTAAGTTGCCTTCGAGCGGACGACTGGTTTCCTCAGGGGGCCGGTAGGAGGAACATGACACAGACTGGGAGAGGGGGCGACACAGGGACGGGCACTCACAGACACTCACAACCAGGCAGATACACTCGATACAGGCGGAAATACCGCCGACTACAACAGGCCATGGGGGGAAATCTGGCCTCGAGCCATCGCAAACAGTCTCCGTTTGTAACACGCAAGCTGGCCAAACTACGCAAACAACACAGGGCACGAAAGCAGGCACACACACACTAGGCTTCATGCGACGTCTCAAAGCAAAACATGCACGCATGAAACGCTGTAACACCACTATGCGCATGGCCACATGGAATACCAGAGGTTTGGGAGCTATAGACAGCAAACATGACCAGGAGCTGAAATGCAAAGCCTTCCTGGCTCGGATGGACACACAACAGTGGGATGTCATATGTCTCACTGACCTTAAATACCCGGAAGATGGCACACGAGAGTATCGATACAACGGGCGGGATTGGTACATGGTTGTCCTCGGGCGGGTGGGCTTTCTCCTGTCGGATGTATGGTACACTTGGTGGGAACAGGGCGGGGCAATAACCTACCAGCGAAACCTACGAGCGGCGGCTATCGGCATACCCAGACGGGGCTGGAGGCGAGGCGTCTGGCTTTGCGCAGCGTGCGCTCCAACAAGCGCGGCAGGACGTCGGGTACGCGCGGCACTGCGACAGGATGTAACTTATCTAGTCGAAGCGGCCCCTCCCTCCAATATGGTAGTAGTCGCAGGAGACCTCAACGCGGAACTGGGGAACAATCAGGACGCAGGGCAGGTGGGGAATGCAGTGGTGGGTTCCTTCTCACACGCACGCTTGACCACGGCGGGGGAGGAGGGACTGGTGCATCAGATACGACTTTCGGGATGCGGGCAGCCGATACCAGCAGAGACGTAGATGTACATGGTCACATCCACGCTTCCGCACAGACCACGAGCTGGATCACTTCCTTATTCGTCACCGCGATATTTGGCAATTACAGTCTTGTCGTATCCTCTATGATGGACCCAATGTCGATGTACCGTGGACCCCGTACACGGACTATAACCCGGTAGAGTGCATACTCAGGATAGGGAAGTGGTGGGCCCCCAAAACCATCGGTACAGCGCAGCGCGGCGCCCGGATCTCGATGCGCTTCGCGGATCAGGGCCCACGGCGATAGAGCTGCGGGAAAAGTGGCAAGCTCTTGTGGAGAGCCGACTCAGGGACCTTCGTTTAGAACTAGAGCAGGAGCCCAATGCTACGCAGAAGTGGGAAACCGTGTGCCGCATATGCCGCAGCGCGGCGCTGGAGGTTTGTGGAATCTTGGTAGAGTTTAAAGGAGCACCATGGCTGCAACAGCATGCGAGGGAGGCTTTAGAGTTGGACGCCGCCATTCGGGAAGCTAAGCTTCGGGATGAGGCGGCAAGAGCACAGGAGGACCCACAGGTAGCGGCCGACTTTCGGCGCAGACTTCAGGAGGCCAGCCGGGAAAAGACACTCACCATACGCAGATGGAAGGAGGCCTGGTTGCGGGATCGAGCTCAAGCCGCGGACGCCTTAATCGGCACGCCGGATGCCTTCGGGGTTTTCAAGATTGTCAAGCAAATCCTAGCAGCTGTAAAGCCGGGAAAAAAGGATGGAGGGCGGAAACGGGCAAGCACGAACGCTGAAATTGACGCATGGAAGGAACACTTCGCGCGGATTCAGGCGGGTAAGGGCGAGGTCCCGGGGAGGGTCTGGGAAGATGTTGCGGGGTTAGAGGAGTGGACGGAACTGAATGATGAACCTACGTGGGAGGAGATGCAAAGGGCCATTAGAGAAATGAAAACAGGCAAAGCCGGAGGCGAGGATGGTATGCTGGCGGAATTTCTTAAGTGGTCAGGACCTGAACTCCAACGCCAAATGTTTCGGTTCATCGCGGATGCGTGGCAGCACGCCAGCACGGCGGAGGACGGTCATGAATCTGAACACTGGCCGAAAATGTGGAAGGAAGGCACCGTGGTACCTTTCTGGAAGCGCAAAGGAAACTGGAAAGATAAAAACACCTGGCGAGGGATCACCCTTCTTTCGGTAGGCTCCAAACTCTTGGCACGAATATGCGCACAAAGACTTTCACGTTGGACACAAAACTGGATGAACCCACTGCAGTTTGGTTTCCGACCCGGGTCAGGGGTGGACGATGCCCAACAAATCACCAGAAGCATTCTTGAGGAGACAGCACAGTCGGCGCACAGTACGGTCTATGTACTCCGTTTCTTCGATCTGGATTAAAAGCTTATCCGAAAGTATCGCGGCCGGCACTATGGACAGCCTTGCAGAGGAAAGGTTGCCCACGAGGCTTCCTCAAAGTTCTCAAAGGCATTCATGAAGACCCATTGTGCAAAGTTCGTTTTCAGGGCAAGGTATCGGGCCACTTCATCCCGGAACGGGGTTTACGCGAAGGTTGTCCCTCGTCACCGATACTCTTCAATGTGTTTCATCATTGTGTTATGGAAGTGTTCCGGGCGAGGCGGGGAAGAAAGGCTCTTTCCAGTCAACACCAACCCGGTTTGGATTGGGTATACAAGGTTGATGGTAAGGTCGCCAAGCGTAAAACGGATCGGGAGGAGGAAGGCCGCAACATCAAGCGAGTCTGCATTGGGGACTTTGCCTATGCCGATGATACCGGCATCGTGGGCGAAGCGGAGGAAGCTCGGGCGGCAGAAAACATTTTTTCGCAAACTGTGGAGGATTTCGCGGGCAAAGTTAATACAGAGAAAACGGAAGGTCTTCGAGTAGCTTCTACTGTCATAGGGCGCCCACGGACGTGCCGTGGTTAGGGGAGGGACCCACGGTAAAACACTTAGGAACACTGCTAGCAGAGCGAGCGGGCCACGCGGCAGAAACACACAGATGTGCACAAAAAGCGGCCAGTCGGGTGGTGGAGATCTCAGGCGCTTGGCTCCGGGGACGGACCAAACAGTATAAAAGAAAGGATTTGAGCACCTCCACGCGCATCAGGGTTCTTAAGTCAGTGGTCAAAGGCACACTTATGAGTTTTTCGCGCACTCGCTCCTGGCAGACCAACCAGATTAGTCGTATGCAGGGAATCATTCACATGGCCATACGACGCAGCTTGGGCTACCGCCTGAAAGAGCTTCGCCAAGCAGGAATCACAAACGAGGTTATGCGAAACTTAGTACAGTGGGAAAAGTTTGACTCAGCCGTCCGCAGGGCTAGCCTTTTATGGTCAGGTCACGTAGCAAGAATGCCGGCGGACTCCCCGCAGAAGCAAGTTATGTTTGGATGGGTAGAAGGCCATAAGGCTAAAATGCGATGCCCCTTCAAACAGGCGCAGTGGCTCAATTCATGTTTACGGCAGGCGCGCATCCCAGAAATGGACTGGTTCCGTCTCGCACAAAATCGTTCAGACTGGAGAAATAGGATTTTGAAGGCTTTCCCCTCGGAAACAGTCAAACAGGCGAAGGAAAAGGAATTGGATAGGTGGCACCTAGGCCAACCTATCCCGGCTTGGGCGCTACCGGCGGGCACGCCAGAAGTAGATCGGGAGCATGAGGATAGTGAAGATGAAATGGGCATTCGCCGCAAGGGACATGCGCCGGGGCAGGAGACAGAAATGTATCGCCCCAAGAGCCGCAAGCCGCGGACAGACAGACGGGCTCCGAGGGGACACGGCACACCTACGTGTCCAGTGTGCCAACAGCAGTTTGAGAAATACAACAGCTTAGCTTTTCACTACGAGGCAGAACATGCCATCTGCAGTCCGAAGCTCACCACGGTGCAATCCTTCACATGCACGCAATGCCAGCCGTCATTTAGGAGGGCAGGACAGCTCAAAGCACACTCTTGTGCAGCAAAACAACGCTTGCCGCGCCTTGATGCGATTGATACAATTGTGATGATCTGGTTAGTTGGAATGATGCCATGACACAGCTGCCCCTACCTACCTCTCTGCATGTTTACACGGATGGATCTGGTGGAGACCGCGCTGTACAAATGGCAGGCTGGGGGGTAGTGGCTTTTGAGGACGAGCAGTCGCAGGTAGAGGAGGATTTTTGGACTGAGGGAGATCCGTGGTCGCGGGACTCTACGTTCCGGTCATAACGCAGGCACACGACCCAATGTGGCTGGGAGCTACCACGCACTCTAACAACACGGGGGAACTCACTGCAATAGGGGAAGCATGTAGATGGCTACTCGACGTACACACCCGCATGCCGGAGGACTGGCCACGTATCGTGTATATTCATTATGATTCTGAGTACGCATATGGGGTAGCCACAAGACTCTTCAGAGCTCAGGAAAATCAGGCACTGGCGGAGTCGGTGGCCACTCTCGTGAGCGCGGTACGTAGAAAGTTTCAGGTCTTTTTTAAGCATGTAAAGGGACACAGTGGCAATCGGGGCAATGATATTGCGGATGCAATGGCGGCAAGGGGAGCTCTAGGCAGGGTATCACCACACTGTGCCCGCTGGCTTGAGGTGATCCCTGACAACACGGATCCGATACCTCGCGCACGTCCTTCGGCGGCGGTGGGCAAAGGAGCAGCAAAAAGCCGAATTCGTCGTGGGCCTCACACCACGTATGAGCGTAGACACCCCCGAGGGCATGAATTAGTCACCTGTCCCATCTGTCAGGAGGAATTTAGAACAGGGGATCTTGCCCAGCATCAGCCGATTTGCCGGGGACCGGGCGACGCCAATAGGACATGTCAATATTGCGGTAAGGTGCTAGGCACGGTCCAGTCGCGTAAGAATCATGAGCGCTACTCTCATGCGGAGGAAGCGCTAAGGGACGGGCTAATTGGAAAGCTCTCCAAGAAGGGGTCAGGAGCATGAGCAGCAACACGTCATGTAGAAGCGGCTGAACAGACAGACCGGATCGCTGCCAACTAGGGTTTCAGCTTTCAGATCACGCATTGTGCGCATAGCTGTCATTCGTGACAGTGATGCCAGATGGCGCCGATCGGAAGCGAAAGCTGGACGAGCTGTCGCAGCAAGTTAAGGAACTCCAAGAACACCGGGGGGAGACTGACCAACGCCTCAACAAGCTGGAACGAACTACAGGCAGAGCGGGAGACGGCCTACAGACACCTTCGTGTGGAGGGGTCTGTGGCTCTTGCTGACCTGTTTCAACGGGTGGAGGCGGGGACGCCCCCCCGTAGCCAGCTGCGCTCCTCCGCCGCCACCGCCTTGGTGGAGGAAGTGTCAGCTACCTTGGCCCGCGCCCAGGACGAGACGGAGCTGCAGCGACTCGCAGGCGACCTCAGTAAAAGTAAACGGGGCGTGCCCACCTACCAAGCCCGAGTCGCGGCAGGGGAGGCTTTTGCCCCCCTGGCCGACTTGGGTCTGCTGGAGTGGGTACAGCCAGCGGGACGTGGTTGGAACCTGCGGCTGCAGAACGGGGAGTCAAGCAGACTTCTGTTCGAAGGAGTGCGCAAGGAACTCAACTGGGTCCTCTTCGTCCTGGGAAAGACAGGGGACGGTAACACCCTGAGTTGCGTACAGCTCTTCCCGGATCGAGGCCCTGCTACGAGGCGACATGAGAAAGGAAGGAAGGGTGGAGGGAAAAACAAGGGGGCCAAAGGAGGCAAGGGAAAAGGGAAAGCGGACAATGGCGGGGGACGTGGGGGCGGTGGCGGCGGCGACCAGTCCTCGGCGTCGCGACCGTGAGGCGGGGTTTTGGATAGTCGTGTTAAGACCACCTTTCACACACAGCAGACAAACTGAGAACCTCATTCAGACAAGTATGAACTGGCGGTGTACCCTGGAAACGGAATCTACTCATACCCTCAACAAGCTGGCATGAGTGTATCGTCATGGGTTGTGTTTTTCGTGATATTCTCGCGCTTGGGCTAGGCCACGGGCCGAACCCACAGTGAGGATCCTCCTATCGGGAGACCTCAAAGTCCGGGTAATCCCTACGTGGGTGGGACATCCCATCCAGTCTTGCGAGAATATTTAACAGTTTGCTTCAACAGTTTCACGCCCCCAACCCCCTCCCAGCAGTAGGATCGGTTAAGCCCCCTTTTGGACGTACCATGTTTTTTTATTTTAATATGCGTCTCGAAGGCCGCCGCGCCCAATGTCGTGGTACACCCGGAGACGCTGAACAGTGAAGGGGCTACCTCCGGCGCGAACTTCTTCTTCTAGCCTCTGAGCCTCTGAGTGACGATGCATGGTTGTGGCAGCATCTTGGCTTGATTCCGTGCTTTGTAGCTAATTTTCGCGCTGTTAACATGGAGTCGTTGCCAGACGCAGATATCGCTGGTGTAGACATCTCGGAGGGTGAAGGGCCCACACCATCGGAGATTCCGGTGCCCAACTTTGGGTTCCAGGGAATCGAGATCGACAATGTTCTGCCCGACCGGCTTTCCAGAGGACAGGACATTCCGATGCGAGCTTCTTCTTCTTCTTCTTCTTCTTCTTCTTTTTCTTCTTCCTATCATGATGACACTTCAGAAGTTACTTCGGGCAGTGATCGATCGATTGCTCAACCAGCGAGTGCACCCCAGCTCACTTCGCGAGGAATTGCCCGTGCGAAGAATGCTGCTAAGGTCCCCAAGGGATCCGTGGGACAAGTTCTGCAGCAGAGGAGGGAACAAATGCTAGGAGCAATTGAAATGTGTAAGCCTCCTGAAGACAGCAATTTGTCGGCTGCCGAGTCTTCTGCTTCTGACAGGGAGATACAGGTTCAACAGGACCTGGCGGACCGTGCCGTCCAGATGGCGACTTTTCGCAGTCCTCCGGTATTAGGGGAAGTCAAGGTTATGTCGTCGTCAGCGTCACCGTCGTCGGCAGCACCACCACCCCCTCCTCCACCTCCACCTCCGCCAGTACTTCGTGCAGGAATCGAGTGTACACCAATGCAGCCTCCGCAGTACGCAGGCGATCCCTTGCTTACGACTAGTGGCCAGGACGTACATTCTGAATTGGTTTTGTCGAGGACGGTGGGCGGAGCAGTCAGCGTCAAGCTTAAAAGCTGGCAAGGTCGTCTTATCATGCAGGCATCTCCTGAGGACCAGATTCAAGGCAACATGAAGATCGCAGCAGACCTCTGCAGCAATGCAGGGAGTCAGCTTCCGCTTCTTTTTGAGCTTCGGTGCTTTGCAACAATGATGTGTCAATTTCCAGGAGATACATCTCGTATGTTCTGTCGAGTGAAGTGCCATGAGTCCAAGGCGCACGTCTACTGGAGTTTCGATTTGACTGATCGGTTTGTACCACACAACGATTCTTCTGCAGAACAACGAACCCTATATTACTTTGCTCATGGCTCGGACATTGCAGGCGTGCAAGGCATAATCCAATCTCGGTTTTTGGCGCCAGCCACGCTGGCGGACGGGCCGGAGGCCGTAGGCCATTATTCGCAAGCAACGCCGTGGAGCGATGACATGTCGTTTGTGCAGATTCTTGATAGGGTTACGAACTCTGCAAAATGGGCTTGCCCCACTATCACACATGGGTTTGCGAGTGTTCCTTGTCAGCATTTCGTTTTCAAGTCGGGCGGCGGAGACGAAGCCCAACAACAGTGCCTCATACATGGGGTCGTACACTTCAAACGTGACCATAAATATGTGATTCACAGCGGAAGGAGCACAGTGGCAGGTTTCACAGTGGCAGTCGCCAAACAATTCACCCCCTTGAGAGATGCTTTCGGTCGCCCGCTTTTTCAGGTTCCTCTGACACATGCTCAGCAGATCCAGCGTGGTGCAGGCAACTGACGTCGTCTTGCAGAGGACCGAGAAAACAAACCAGGACTTGCGTGAGTGTTGCACATCTTGCTCATGGTGCAGGACTGCTTGCATTAATATTACATCAACATGTGTGCTTTGAACAGTTTTCGGCCTTTCAGGTATCCTTTCGATTGTGCTTGAGCCATGTCGCATCGTCGTCGTGACTCGCGATCTCGAAGTCCACCCCGCTCCCACCGCAGGCATCCTGAATTCTCTTCGGGCCGCACCGCTCGATGTAGATCTCGCACTCGTTCTCCAAGAGTTGAACGAGGAGGTGTGAACATCCCGGGATCATGGCGACAGACTTTGCAGAAGTGGGATTCGAATAAGGTGTATGGTTTGTCGTTGCCAAGATGTGACCTCCAATCGACTTACTCGAGAGCTTGGCATTGCAGGTATGGAGATTTTTGATGTACCATTATACACAAGGTTGTTTCGGGAGGTACTACCAATTGGGCTTTGCGGCAGATTGCTCATGGTCGCACTGTGCAATGGGAGAATTTTCGGTCGAAACAGGAGGGTGTGTTTTGCGGGGTACTGATGAGGGCACTTCGATCAGAACAGGCTGAGCAGGAGGGTACCGATTTTGTTACCATTCTGAATGCCACTCAAAAGAAGTTGTATCCAGATTCGGAAATTCATGATTGGTCAGCTCGTTACAAGACCATCCAGAAGCTGGTCGAGGACTTGGTGAAGGACTTTCGTAAGAAAGCACCAGTTCAGACCAATCAGACTTTGTTGCAGCGACTCCAAGCTCTTGAGTCTGAGAATGCTCGTTTGAAGGGTAAGCATCCTCGCTCGGCTCAGTCTGTTCCTCCTCGTCGCAGAGGCACGCCTGCTCCTCGACCAAGACAGGCAGGGTCGATGAGTCCCAAACTCGCCTTCGAAGAAGAGGACTTTGAAGCCGCTGGTGATGTCGAAGAGACCGCCAATTTCGGATCGCCTATCGACGTTCCTCGTAACGAAGAGGAGGAGGACAACGACAATGGTCCGATAGACGCTCAGGACACGTACTCGCAGTATCTTCCGAATCGCGACAGTACTCTTTACCTCGAGAGTTGTAGCTTGGAAGGCATGAACATCAAGAGTGTCAACAACTGGCTTGCATCTACTGCTACTGGGAAGGGCAAGAACAAAGTGATTGATACCGCAGTTTCCGAGTTTGTTGCTGCTTGCGCAAAACTTGACGACGGTAGCAGGAAGCCAGTCGACAAAATCGCAGTGGAATGGGGTCTTTCAGTTTCTTTAGCTTCTTGGGGTCTTTCAGTTTCTTTAGCTTCTAAACTGAATGAGAAGTGCCTCACTCGCTTGATCGCGGGAGCCCACTTGCTGGCCAACCAGTGACTATGTGCGGCTTCGAGCGCGACAAGGACCAAGCGACAGCGATGTGTTGTCACTTTTCTCCGATGGTTTTCATTGATTCTCCCCATCCCTTACATTCTCATGCCCCACAAGGTGATCGACAGATTTATGTGGGTTCGATCCCACATTTTTCCGTGTGCTTTGTTTTCGGACGCTTTACCCAGGTTTTCCACAGGCATTTTCGTGCGCATGCGTGATCTTCTGGTGCCGTTTCGCGTACCCAAACATTATCCATGGACCTGGCATCAAACTTCGCATATGGTTTATCTTCGTGTGTCGGTGAATCGACCAGCAACCACAGCTTTACTGTATGTTGGAGCCACCAGGGAAACCGTTCAAGGACGGGAAGCCTCAAGACGCCGCAAGTTCATTCAACTGGCCAGGAAAAGATTATCACACTTTGAACCTGCGCTCAAAGTGTTTCATCGCAAACGTGATTTCTATCAAGGCATCGTTCTGGCCCTGCATCAGGATTCTGATCATTTGTCATTGCTTGCGACAGAAGCTGCTTTTATTCGGACAATTAGACCTGCGTTGAATTATCCATGGGTTCAGGACCTCTTGAAGTCACTACGCATCAAGCAAACCAGATTTCGTTTGCCTCAGGCCAGAACAGGGTATCGGTTTACCAGGAAGTGTCAGGCATTGATTCGCCGTCGACATGGAGTATATCATCAACACCTTTTGAACAACAAACAAGTGTTTCTCTCTCTCTCTCTCTCTCTCTCTCTCTCTCTACCGTTTGGGGTCCAGGACTGTGTTCAATTACCGATCTTTTCTGCGATCCTGGAAACCAGGGAAGCCGGAGGCTTGCAGGTGCTCGAGATTCACGACCTCATCGGAGACAGGACATTTGTTTGCTCATGTACGTGCGCTTTGCCCGAATTCCCCTTTGACCTTCTTGAATCTCAATGACACATGTTTCTTACCCATAGCACAATGGAAGCGCATTGCGGACAGGGAGGTGCACCGATGGTGCAACAGTTGGAGACTACCTTCTCGTATTCGCTCAGGACTGCGGCAATGGGTTTTGTGTCAATGTCGACTACATGAGCGGACTATGCTTCATGACAAGTCTTCTGTTCATATCGCAGTTATTCGAGATCTTCGACTCATGAGAGGACTCGTTTTCACCCCGGCCGATCATTGCCGATCATTTTCCATTTTCTCTTCATGTTGCTTGTCCTTTTGCTTTTCATTCGTTATTGGATACAACCTTCTTGGATGAGACAGTTTTTCAGAGATGCAGTGTGGGAACGTCGTCCATTCTGTCGAACTTGAAGATGCGATTTCAATCCACATCGCGGTGGTCCAAAAGGTATGGATGGGGATGTCAATGGACAGCGCCTTTACCTGTAGCCAGAATCTTGCCCAAACCCAACAAGGACTTCCGAAAAGCAAGACCGATTATTGTGTGTGATCACTGTTGGCATTCTCGTTTGACAACTTTCCTGGCCAAGGCGATTTTTCAGATCATGTTGGTTGCTTTTCCGACAGGATCTACCTTTAATGTGTTGTCAGTTCAACAAGCAGTTCGCATGATGTGGCACTCTATGATGGTTCACCCAGCAGATGAACCCACCATCATGAAGCAGCAGGACCTCATCGGCTTCTTCAATTCAGTACCACATGATCGCATTTTGCAGTCTTTGCTTTTCGTTCTGCAGCTTCTTGAAGGTTGTTGGCACAAACCGTGGCAACTGCAATCTTTGCAGGTTTCTGCTCGCAGCATGGATCCCAACTTTCGAGTCTTCCGTGGACGTCGTAGGTTCGCTGCGAGGAACACCAAGACGATTTACTTGGAGGACTTACCTGACTTGGTTGCGTTTATGCTACGATCAAGTTTCTTTCAGTGCGGCTTCCACACCTTCAAGCAGATTCAGGGAGCCAGCATGGGCTCGGCACTTGCACCGGTACTGTGCACACTGGTTGCGTCGACTACTGAATTTCTGTGGCTTCGGAATTTTCGCACCATCTTGAACAACATTGGTTTTCAGACGGCTGCTCGTTACGCTGACAATCGGGTCTTTCATGTCCAAGCAGGCATTCGAAGAA